CAGAGTCTTGCTCTGTTGTCCAAGCTGGAGTGCAGTGGCGTGATCTCGGCTCACTGCAACTTCTGCCTCCCGGATTCAAGCAATTCTCCTGCCTCAGCCTCCTGAGTAGCTGGGATTAACAGGCATGTGCCACCATGCCTGGCTAATTTTTATATTTTTAGTAGAGATGGGGTTTCACCATGTTGGCCAGGCTGGTCTCAAACACCTGACCTCAGGTGGTCCACTCACCCTCGGCCTCCCAAAGTGCTGGGATTACAGGTGTGAGTCACTGTGTCCAGCCCTCCTATCTTACTTTTTACAGAAAACATTTGTTCATCTTTGCCTTATAGTCTAGCATGTAGTGGTTATTATTAATTATTACTGTTATTATTCCAGAACCTTTCTCTTGAGCTGCACAGTCTGCCAAAGTAGGGGAAGCAGCGTCAGCCTTTCCTTTGTTGTCTTCTGGTTCAATAAAGATGTGTTATGCATCTTCCATGTACCTGGTCCCTGCCTGCAGGGAGCTCCGTGTCTAGGATGGGGAGATAGTCCACTGTAACAGAGGAAGTCAGGGGCACCCAGAGGAAACACGGGACACAGCTGGGAGTGGGGAGGTGTCCAGGAAGGCGTCCTGGGGGAGGGGGTATCTGGGCTGGAAGATGAGGAGGGTTTAGCCAGGAAGCCAATCCATGTGGCAATGGCACGTGGAAGAAGGAAGAGCTAGACTTCAGTTTGAAAAATATGTGTCCTGGTCAGGAGTGGTGGCTCACGCCTATAATCCCAGCACTTTGGGAAGCTGAGGTGGGCAGATCGCTTGAGCTCAGAAGTTGGAGAACAGCCTGGACAACATGGCGAAACCCTGTCTCTACAATAAATACAAAAATTAGCCGGGTGTGGTGGCATGTGCCTGTAGTCCCAGCCACTTGAAGTTTGACATGGGAGGATGGCTTGAGCCCGGGGGTGGAGGTTGCAGTGAGCTGAGATTGTGCCACTGCCCTCCAGCCTGGCAAAAGAGCCAGACCCTGTCTACAAAAAAAAAAAAAAAAAAAAAAAAAAAAAAAAAAAAAAAAAAAAAAAAAAAAAAAAAAAAGAAAAGAAAAAAGGAAGAAAGGAAAGAAAGAAATATGTGTGTCTCCGAGTAGCCTCTCACCTCACAGAGACTTTCTTTCCTCAGATGAAAAATGGAGCCACTGACCCGCCCCAGAGCTGTGGGTGACCACGGCAGGCGGTCAGCTCTGCACCAAGCTTAGTTCTCCTCCTTCATCCTCTTCTCTCTCACTCTGAGCGTGAGAACCCAGGGCTTGTTCCGAGCGTTGAATGGGGAGGAACTGCTTAGCAATTGTCCTCCTCTCTGACCTTGAAGTGGAGTGGCTGGGGTGAAGTTCCAGGAACGGCCCAGAAGGCTTCTGACCGGGAGGTGCAGAGAGAGGCGTGGGGAGGCCCTTCCAGCTCAGTCCCCAGGCTGGCTCCGGGGTCCACATCCCAGCCGCTCACCTTGGGGACTCCCTCCCTATTCCTTCTGTTCCCTTGCCTGGCTTGGCGGGGCGGGGGGGGGCTAGGTGGGTGGATGAGGGGTGTGGGGGGGTGGATCAAGCAATTTGAGCAGCTTCCCTGCCCCTCTGCATAGGTGCTGATAGGGGCAATAATAGCAGTGAGGAACTCATTGACTTATAATGACCAGCAGACAGAAAGTCCTAACTTGTAGAATTTGCTGATTTCCGTGGTGTAAATGCTCCTACTATGATTGATTTCAAATCACCAGCGTGATGTCAACAGGCTCACAAAATTCCCGAACATTTAACAGTTGACTGGTTTTTTTTTCTTTCTTTTTTTTGAGTCAGAGTCTTGCTCTGTTGTCTGGGCTGGAGTGCAGTGGTGTGATCTCAGCTCACTGCAACATTTACCTCCTGGGTTCAAGCAATTCTCCTGCCTCAGCCTCCCGAATAGCTGGGATTAAAGGCTCCTGCCACCACGCCTGGCTAATTTTTTGTATTTTCATAGGCAGTGTTTCACCACATAGCCTAGGCTGGTCTTGAACTCCTGAGCTTAGGCAGTCTGCCCGCCTCGGCCTCCCAAAGTGCTAGGATTACAGGTGTGAGGTCACTGTGCCCGGCCCAGTTGACTCTTGTGAGCTGGTACAAGCTGGCTTAGCACAGCACAGGCGGGGGCTATGTAGGGGACCTCTCTACGGTGTGGGGGGCCCCAGCGCAATGGACTCCCGACCACAGGTAAGACCACGTGCAATAACAAGCTCTGTCATTGGACATCATCGGGTTCTAAACCCAGTGCTCAGGCTCCCTGCTGGGGTCTCCAGGCTAGTCTTGTCACCTGTCTGATCCTCGGTTTCCTCATCTATGGAATTAGATCATCAAAAGCTCCTGTTCTTAAGAGGGTTGTGTGAATTTCATAATTTACACAAAGCCTTTAGTGCAGGGCCAGCTTAGTAATGAGCACTTGATGAATGATGCCTCAACTTCCCCATCTGTACACAACACTGCTGGTGATGGATTCGTAGCCACCCGTGGGGCACCAGGCTTGCCACACAGCGAGTGGGCAGCAAATGCTTGCCACCTTCCATCAGGGCTAGAAGCTGCTCGCTCTCCCTGGGTCACCTGGCTCATCTGGGTCACCTGGCTCACCTGGCTCACCTGCAGGGCGGGGTCTTGGCAAATTGCACAGAGACAGCCAGCTCTTCCAACGTGTCTCTTGCACACTGTGGGCTCTCAGTACATGCTCTCCTTGGTCCTTCCAGCAGTCTCCGTGGGAGGTCCTTTCTGAATTCCCATTTTACTCTTGTGATCACTGAGGCCCAGAGCCTGTGAGTGGCACAGCTGGGATCTGAGCCCAGGTCCACCCTCTTTGCTGCCAAGCTTTCCTATGTACAGCACACGAGGGGCTGTGGGGTGGGGGCGTATGGGAGGAGGAGGCTTGTGGAGGCGGCATGGGTCTGCCAGGAGGTGCAATAGTAGATGCTGGGCAGATGTAGCTTGGTAGAGGAAGTTTTCCAGGCCGAGGCCCCCATGTGAACAAAGGTGTGGCAGGTGGACTTGCCTGCTGGGGGAAAGGGATGTTGGAATATTGGGGTCTCATTGTGCAGGAATATGAGGGTTGGTGGACTGGAGCTTTTCTGTAGGTTTGGTCCGGGCAGTGGGGCCCCTGGAATCCTTGGGTTAACACCACCCTGGCGAAGGAGCAAAGTATGAAACTGTAGCAGCAGAGATGTAGGTTAGATATGAAAGAGAACATTCCCGCTGCCCATGCTGGAAGACGCTGATCTATATTCTCAAGGGATAGGGTGGCATTTTCCCAATCTAGAGATGGTTGGAAAAAAGAGAAGGTGGCCAGGGCTGGGACTTGACCCCAATGCAGGAGAGGTTGGAGACACAGCGAGGGATGGGAGCGGAAGCAGCCCTCGACACCAGCAGCTGGGCTTCATGTGAATCGCACTTTGTCACCCCCTGCTCAAAACCCTCCCATGGCTCCCGGTCACCTGTGCCCCATTGTAAGGCCAATTGTAAGCCTCCTTGGGGCTACTGAGGCCCCTCGGGACCTGAGCCCTGTCGGTCTCTCTGATCTCATCTTTTTTTTTTTTTTTTTTTTAGACTGAGTTTTGCTCTTGTTCCCTAGCCTAGAGTGCAGTGGTGCGATCACGGCTCACCGCAACCTCTGCTTCCCGGGTTTAAGCGATTCTGCCTCAGCCTCCCGAGTAGCTAGGATGACAGGCGTGCACCACCACACCCAGCTAATTTTGTATTTTTACTAGAGACAGAGTTTCTCCATGTTGGTCATGCTGGTCTTGAACTCCCAACCTCAACGTGACCCGTCCACCTCAGCCTCCCAAAGTGCTGGGATTATAGGCATGAGCCACCTCACCGGGCTCTCTGACCTCATCTTTAGCCCACTGAGCGTCTTGCTGTTTCTGATGACACCAAGTCCCCTCATGCATCCTGGACTTTGCCCCCGCTGTTCCCTTGGCCTTAGACACCCTTCCCTTTTACCCCACCTCAGCCTTCCTCCTCAGCTCTTGGGTGCCTCTCCACTGAGGGGTCAGATGCTCCCTGGGCACCCCCGTCACTCCAACACCAATTCTGTCTTGTAACTGTTCAGCTGTGGGTGGGCCTCCCTGCTGAGCCGGGGCCCTTGAGGGTGGGGGACTTGGCCTGCCTTGCAGAGTTCACCTGCGTTAGGTGCTCAGGGAGGGCTGAGGAGTAGCTCAGGAGGGGAGAGGAGTAGCTGGGCGGGAGGGGCTGTTCAGGAGGCGCCGTCCCCTGCTCTGGGAGGCAGCATGGCCAGGCATTAAGGACCTGAGCTCAGAGTAAAAGAGTACAGACACCTGGGTTCGAATTCTGTTCCCACCGTTGTTCCCCAGCAGGTCCCCTAACCTTATAGGACCTCAGTTTGCTGATCTGTGAGCTGGGCACAGTACCAGCTGCCAGCACTCTCTGGGGCCATTGTGAGGCCTGGAGGTGGTGGTGGAAGGTGGCCAGCTTGCAGGCAGCACTCACTGTGTGGTGGTGCCAGGCTGACTCCCCTGTTCTCTCCTAGCAGGTGACCGCCATGTCGGTGAGGTTGCGGTTCCTGTCCCCTGGGGACACAGGGGCCGTGGGGGTTGTGGGCCGGAGCGCCTCCTTCGCAGGCTTCAGCAGCGCGCAGAGCCGGAGGATCGCGTAAGTTCTGGTATCCTGCGTGTGTGGGGGGGTAGGGGTGAAGGGCAGGGGGCTTGTTAATGGGCTGGGGCAGGGCAGGGACATCTTCTGTTGACAGATCTGAAGGCTCACTCTCAGGCCGGCTTGCAGCCCAAGCCAGAGAGAGAGGAGAGAGAGAGAGAGAGAGGGAGGAGAAAAGGAGGGGCGGGGGAGAGAGAGAGAGGAGAAAAGAGAGAGGAGAAAGGAGGGGGAGAGAGGAGAGACAGAGAGTGTGTGTGTGTGTTTCGTGAATCTATCATTTCCTTGAGACCTGAACAGTTAACATTTCAAATACTCAAGTAGTTGATCTGCCTGAGCTTAGCAGGTCTACTTGGCCGATTAAAAGAAAAAAAAAAAAAAAAAAAAAAAAACTGGGGCTCTGGCTGGGCACCATGGCTTACACCTATAATCCCAGCACTTTGGGAGGCTGAGGCAGGAGGATCACTTGAGCTCAGGAACTCAAGACCAGCCTGGACAACATAGCACGACCCCATCTCTCCAAAAAATTTTTTTAAAAACCAAAAAGCCAGGCTTGGCACGGTGGCTCATGCCTGTAATTCCAACATTTTGGGAGGCCAAGGCAGGTGGATCACTTGAGATCAGAAGTTCGAAACCAGCCTGGCCAACATGGTAAAATCCCATCTCTACTAAAAATGCAAAAACTAGCTGGGTGTGATGGCGGGTGCCTGTAATCCCAGTTACTTGGGACGCTGAGGTGGGAGGTTCACTTGAACCCAGGAGGCGGAGGTGCCACTACACTCCAGCGTAGGTGACAGAGTGAGATGCCATCTCAAAACAAACAAACAAAACCACACACAAACCCAAAAAAGCCAAAACCAAAAACAAAAACCCAAAAAAGCAGAGACTCAGATAGGTGGAGCTGCTAGCCCAAGGTCACACAGCAAAACTGGCCCAGGGTTGGGTCTCCTAAGAGCAGGGTTGGGAAGGAATGTCCTTCCTGTCTGAAAGATTAGGCAATGGAGCCACCTCTCCTGGCTCTGTGACCTGGGGCCAGTGACCTCACCGCTCCAGCCTTGTCCTCATCTGAACTGTGGGAATCATGGTGCACCCTGCTGGCGGGGCTGTCAGGAAGGAACCATGAGGGAGGCAGGGCCAGCAGCTGGTGCAGCCGGGGCGTTGGGCGTTAGCAGATGAGGGAGCAGGCTTGACACAGATGGGCCTGGGGGGCAGCACTGAGCCTGCGAGTTCCCGGGCCGGGGGGTGCTGGCTGGCCAGGCCCTGCCTGCTGCCCATCCTGTGTCTCCTCTCTGGCTTCAGGTACTAAGTTACTGGGAGGAAGGTTGTTTCTGCTCCCAGAGGCCATAGCCCGAGGAGCTCAGGCCTGCTGTCCCCTGGCTCCAGGGCCTCATGCCAGGCACTGTGCAAGCCCCTGGGGAACTATTTGCCAGTGGGCAGGCTGGGGAGTGGGGCAGTTTTCCGACACCCTGAAGGGGCCAAACCTCTGTCTGTCTGAGCTGATGGGGTGAACAGGTGGAGGGCCCCAGCCAGAGCAGAGTGCAGAACCCAGTAGGTCAGTGAGTCAGTCGACAACCAAACCCCACCATGCTCTTCCCCGACTTGAAACCCTGCAAAGATTCCCATCCTGCTCAGATTGCAACCCAGTGCCCTCCTCGCCTAGAGGCCCCTGGGACCTGGCCCCAGCAGTCTCGTTTCTTCCCTGGGCTCCAGCCACGCCAGCCTCCCTGCCCTTCCCGTGGAGCTCCTGTCCCACTCCCCCACCTCCAGTTCCTGCTGAACTGCCTGCAGGTGTTGGCTTCCTGCCAGGTCCTGGGGGAGGACCCTGAGCCCCAGAGTAGGCCAGGTGGCTTCTGTGTATGCGCCTGAGCTCTTTCCCAAGGGCCTTTACTGCTGGGATCAGACCCCACGTCCACCCCCTGAGGTCAGCCCTCCCAGTTCACTCACCTTTCCCCAGGGCTCCCTTCCTATGGGGGCTGGGTACCAGGACCCCAGGGTTCAGCTGGAAGCACCTTAGGAACCCCTGTTCACGCAGCAGATGGTCACAGAGCACTGACTCTGGCCTTGTCCCAGGCTCTGGGGACAGACCCAGGCCCTACCGTCCTGGGAGCTGGTGGCAGCAAACAATAGGCCAACGATAACTGAGACAGCTCCAGCCGGAGGCAGTGCTGTGAGGGAACTGAAATGGGAGCGGGGGAGGGCAGCCGGGGTCTCCCCGGAGAGCCCAACGAGGCAGGGGCACGGGGAGCCGAGGCAGGAAGGGACAGAAGAAGTGGACCTGCACGTGTGCAGGTGGGGGTGGGCCAGGAAGCCTTTGGTGGGGGAGGCAACAGGGGGTGCTGATGTCCTGGGTGGGAATGAGCTTTAAGGGACAGAAAGCAGGTGTGTAGCTGGCACATGCGACAGTGGTCAGGGAGAGGGGAGGACCCTTCGTTTCTTAAGTGTTGCTGAGACGGGAGTTAAGTATAAACTGTCAAGGAAATGAGGCTGTTTCTCGACTTAACCATTTCTGAGCTGCCTCTTCCCGGGCTTTATCAGGGTCCTCCACCCCCTTGTTGGGGTCTGTCATCAAGGCTGGAAGGTCAGCTGTGCAGGTTACCTGGCCAGGGGGTCACCTGGCCCAGGTGACCCTCTCTAAGCTGTGTGCTCTGGAGTGGGCTGGTCCACTGAAGCACTGTTGGGACCCCCAACAGTGTGGTCTGGAAGGAGGGGGAGGCTCTGCAGACCCCAAAGCCAAGGCCGGCTTCATGAGCTCGCAGCCTGTGCTCTGCACTGTATTCAATGCTTTGCGGTCATGCTTTAGAAATTTTTGTTATTTTTGAGGCAGGGGTCTCTGTCGCCCAGGTCGGGGTGTGATCTCTATTCACTGCAGCCTTGACCTCCTTGGTTCAAGTGATCCTCCCACCCCAGCCTCCTAAGTAGAAATGCTTAATAAACTTTTTTTGGGTTTTTTTGAGACAGAGTCTTGCTCTGTTGTCCAGGCGTGCAATGGTGCAATCTCGGCTCACTGAAACCTCTGCCTCCATCTCGGCTCACCGAAACCTCTGCCTCCTGGGTTCAAGTCATTCTTCTGCCTCAGCCTCCCAAGTAGCTGGGATCACAGGTGTGTGCCACCATGCCTGGCTAATTTTGTAGTTTTAGTAGAGACAGGGTTTCTCCATGTTGGTCAGGCTGGTCTTGAACTCCTGACCTCAGGTGATTGGCCCTCCTCAACCTTCAAAAGTGCTGGGATTACAGGTGTGAGCCACCACACCCAAACCACCCAGCTAATTTTTGTATTTTTAGTAGAGGTAGGGTTTTACCATGTTGGTCAGGCTGGTCTCGAACTCCTGGCCTCTGGTGATCCACCTACCTCTACCTCCCAAAGTTTTGGGATTACAGGTGTGAACTACTGTGCCCAGCCAAAATTACTTTTTTTTTGGAGATGGAGTCTCACTTTGTCACCCAGGCTGGAGTTCAGTGGTGCGATTTCAGCTCACTGCAACTTCCACCTCCCAGGTTCAAGCAATTCTCCTGCCTCAGCCTTCTGAGTAGCTGGGATTACAGGTGTGTGTCACACACCAGGCTAATTTTTGTATTTTTAGTAGAGACAGAGTTTCACCATGTTGGCCAAGCTGGTCTTGAACTCCTGACCTCAGGTGATCCACCCCCTTCGGCCTCCCAAAGTGCTAGGATTACAGGTGTGAGCCACTGCACGCAGCCCAAAATTCTTAATAAACTTTGAATTGGCCGGGCGCGGTGGCTGAAGCCTGTAATCCCAGCACTTTGGGAGGCCGAGGCGGGTGGATCACGAGGTCAAGAGATCGAGACCATCCTGGTCAACACGGTGAAACCCCGTCTCTACTAAAAATACAAAACATTAG